ATATATATATATATATATATCTTACTTTACTATTATATATATATATATATATATATATATATATATATATATATATATATATATATATATATATGTGTGTGTGTTTGAGCGCTTAGCCTTGGAGCAGGTAGAATGGAGATCAACGTGTTTTAGCGGACTCAGCAATTTTCAATCTGCTTGTCTGAATCATCTTCAAGAAGCGAGAGCAAGATCTAAAAGGTCAGCCAATCTAATAGTGATCTCATTTCACAATCCTCATACTTGCTACGTATGTGGCCTCCTTTGTAAATCACTAGCGGGTCTTAAATGCCACTTAAGATTATCGCACAAAATTTCATAACTGAATCAATAAGCTGTCAGATACTCATACATCCAAACCGACGGGAGAGTCCATTATTATTATTATTATTATTATTATTATTATATAATATTAGCACGTAAGTGAATGCAATGGATTAAAATGGAATTCGAACTCCTCAATCCAAGTTGCTATCCACTACTCCACCGTGACACCACCGTATATATATATATATATATATATATATATATATATATTACTTGCATTATTTAGAATATTCGGACTGTTTTCCTCATCTTCATTACCATATTCGCAACGTTTTGACCGTTGTACGCTCCAGCCTTCTTCAGATGATTGGATTGGTATCGTACCGCTTCGTCCACCAGGGTAGATATGTTTACTTACAGGCGCCACGTCTCTTCTGAATGTCTCAGTTATTTCCCTTTAACTCAAACCTCCAATCTTTTTGGTTCTGCACTTCTGTAGCCTGGTATTGTACTCACAACTCTTCGGGTCTCGTCACTGCTTCTAACCAGCGTCTTTATCCACTGGGCCATGAGGACAAAATAAAGGGTTCGGTTCGAAATTCCAATCACCTAGAGAATGCCGAAGTGTATAACGGCCGAAACGTCGTGAATATGGCAATAAAGATGAGGACAACAGTCCGAATAAACTAAATAATACAAGTAATCATAATACCTCATCTCAGAGATATAGAGAGATATTGAAGTGATAGCTTAAAATGGGTGTAGTCAGCTTAAAACTGGTATTGTCTACTTAAAGCATGTGTTGTTATGTTTTTCTAGACATTTTTTTCAAAATATCAATTATATTTTTTATTATGAATACTTGTTTCTTCGTTATATTTTTTTTGGAAATTCTTAACGGCGGCAAACCAACTTGCGTCTATTTATTAACCATCGAGTTATATGGCATAACTTTCCAGCCATGCAGATGATGTTTTATAATGGCATACCCACATAGCCTTTTCACCTATTAAGCAGTTACCAAACATCCGAAATATCTGTTTAAAAAAGGTTATAATATAGTGTAGTGGTTTGTATAAACATACGTTGTGATATGTATATCTAAATTTAATAATATTGTCATAATATATTATAAATTTTGATATTTTTCACACATATAATAGTTGGAATATGATATGCAAGTGTTTGTTTATATACGCGGATTGATAAACTTATAAAGGTGATACTAGAATCATCCGTGCTTATATTTTGTCTTTCTCCTGACGTGTAATCAGCCCCATGTCAACTTTTTAGACCAGTCAGGTGGAAAGTGCGGCACGCGGGCCAAGTGTGGTCTATTTCACTTTCTGAATGGCTCTCCGAATTCCATGAGGAAAATAACGTTTATTAAAATTTTGTTTATTTTGTTTCTTCCTCACTTGTTCACTCACATTTTCTCATGCATTACATAAACAAAGAATAAGCGTTTCTTGAATTTTGTAACTTTTCGTTTAAGGTAACGTTTCCATCATTTTAAACGATTGGTGATCTTCACTAAGGAAGACCATGCCTGTAAATATAAGTTATAGTTGAATTGAATATAACCGTAGGTTTTATGTTATGGATGTAATCATAAGTTACTATACCATACCATTCTATGCTGACAGTTTTTTCTCTCGTACTTCATACTTTTGGAACTCTCTTCTGGCTTCATGCTGTCCAGCCAATTTTGATCTTCAAAAATTTAGTAGTGCGGCCCTCCTTATGATGATCCATATCTGTTGCGGCCCACTGGTCGGAAAAAAGTTTGCCCATACCTGTTTTAGACTCTAGTATACAACAGGATCTATTTCTACATTTTACGAACCTACGGATTTAAGGCCGTTGATATCTATTCGGTATGTTTTCTTTACAATTCTTTTGTTCTTATTGAAATTCATTTATACATCCTCCCAGCTTGTTTGCATTAAATTTAAGGTAAATCCTCATTTTATTTTCAGAAAGGCACGAAAGCAGAACATTCATATAAACTTTTCTGAAATGGATTGAAGGTAAATCCTTATCTAGTTTTTCCGAATGGGTTGAAAGTAAAAGATCTATTAACTTATTGTGATTTCTTCAGCTTCTAAGAGTCAACCGTTATCGGACTAATCGAGTCAACGTGAATGATTCTTAACTGCATAGTATGCAATTCACCAGATGTACAGTCAGTTATGTGATACGCGTATAGGCGATCATGGCGTAGCAGATGTTTTTTTCCCGCGGCAGGTTGCCATTTCTTTCTGTGGTAGACCAGTTGCCATCCAAGACTATAGAACTCGTTCTGTCCTGCTATTTACCCATAACTGGCGGAGAAGCATGAGTATTAGCACGTAAGTGAATGTAATGGATTCAGCTGGAATTCGAACTCGGCTCTCCGATTCCTCAATCTGAGCCGCTATCCATTACTCCACCGTGCCTTCTCTACAGGTCTACATACAGTTTTGAATTCAGAGTTGTTCCTCCTCCCAAACCAGTTGCCACCCAAAGCTATAGAACCCAGTCTGTCCGAGAATTTATTCATAGCTTGGTCGGTTGGGGAGAAAAGCTGCATTCATACCTTTCCCAAGGATATTTTATGGCTATTTAGTTTTCCTTCTCCTAGACTGGTTGTCAACCAAGGCAGGATCTGTCTTAATATTTACCCGTAGCTGGGGTGGTGAGTAGGAATTTACTTCGTAACACGAGGGAGATAATTTGAAACCATCCCTTTCCCGATTCCTCAGTCTGAGACGCTATCCATTACTCTACCGTGCCTCTGTAAAAAATCCATTCGACGTTAAATAAGCGAAGGATTGATATGTGGTTAAATTCAGCAACAAAAAAACCTAGCCTAGATCTAAGGCCATTGAGAAATTGTTAATCGCTTTTTTTATTAATTCACCCTAAGCAAGGCGTTTATGACACTAAGACATAAGGGTCTACTGGGAATGAAAAAGAATAAAAATACTAAAGAGGAACCATAGATACACCTTTACTCCTGTTCAAAAGACCGGAGAGGAGTGTGAAACGGACTATATGCGAACCTATTTACACTGACTCTGTTATAATGTTACGGTTGTATTATGAGTACGACGCCTATAAACTATAACCTTGTGCAACATTACTCTATGTCAATAATTCTCAATGAGACGAAGTGTTGAGCAAGGTGATTTCGATGGGCGATTACTCTCTTGCCACAAATATTTTTTTAAAATTTGAGATTATGAAGATGATGATGGTAAACCTATATACCGGCACACAGTCGAAAGAACTTAGCAAAGCAGTTGAAATAAAGGGGAGTAATAAGCACCATGCAGATTATCAGCTCGAATAATGAGGTCTGTCTTCTTTCAGTTGATCTCTACGAAAAGTGCTTATTTTAATCCATACTGCAATCATGCTTAACCTTAAAGAAAATATTCCGTTTTCTAAACAAATTGTAACGAGCGATGAACAGTAGATAAATTACAACAAAGTGGAGCGTAAGATGTCATCATATAGTTATGCACGATGCGTGATATACGATTAGGCGATCATGTATCTTTCGATACATGACTGACGAGGTAGATTTTTTTCCCGCTGTAGGTTGCCATTTCTTTCTGCTGTAGACCATTTGCCATCCAAGGCTATAGAAGCCGGTCTGTCCTGCTATTTATCCATAGCTGGGTGGAGGAGAAGAGAAGTCCTACCTTTCGCAAGGGTATTAGCAGGTAAGTGAATGTAATGGTTTCGACTGGAATTCGAACTCAGCTTTCAGATTTCTCAATCCGAGCCGCTATCCATTACTCCATTGTCAGTCAAGCGAAATAATAATAATAATAATAATAATAATAATAATAATAATAATAAGAAGAAGAAGAAGAAGAAGAAGAAGATGAAGAAGAAGAAGAATATTAAGAAGAAGAAGAAGAAGAAGAAGAAGAAGAAGAAGAAGTGATTCAGGAGACTATCAAAGCCTGTTACTGCTTGGCTGAGAAGATTCCGTTTATCGACAATATTCCCCAAATATTGCAACTTGTGAAGTAAAATTTACTGTCACCCTCCAGTCCCATAACATCAGGAAGTCTCCTTCCTGACAAATCAACTGGGGTGAGATTCGAACCCGTGTCTCATTGTCACAAAGCGCCCCCATATATATATATATATATATATATATATATATATATATATATATATATAAGTGAACATAGAAGTCAAGACTTAGAAGCGACAGTCTGTTTCATGCTAGACGCAATCGTCCCAGGCCATGAGTGCTGTCATTTTTACAAAAATAACAGCACCTATGGCCTGACGATTGCGTATAGTATGGAACGGACTGTCGCCTCTAAGTCTTGACTTCTATGTTCACTTTTATATTTACACACGCTCTATCTCTGATATTGAGCACTTTATTCCATAAATATAGCACACCTCAAGACTATATTTCTTCATATATATGTATTTATATATATATGAGCATACATACATATGTATATGCCTGTGACTAAACCAGACGTTGGGTGTGGGCAATGTTCAAAGCATTGTCGTTAAATCTCTGGACTATCCAGTGAGGATCGAACTCAGGCTTAAGCAAGCTTGCTGACTAATGCACAGCATCAAAAGATGGTATTAAAAATAGTTTGAAAAAGTAAGGCGAATGTAAATTACAGTCTCATAATAGTGTGGGATGAAAAGTAAATAAATAGGTTAAAAAGAAATATAAATAGAGAACGAAATCAACTTTTTTTTTTCTTTAAATTGTTAGGGGAGAAAATGAATTGAGATTCTTTGCATGTGATGAGGGAACGCCCGGGACGACAGGAAGGAGATATCGGCAAATGCCACCACGTGGAGGTGGGGTTCTCCACTTCAGTCCGTTGGCACTTGTCTGATTGATGTTCAAGATAGTTTTTAATACCCGAAAAACATTTGAGAAGGCCTTTCGTTTCAGGGAAGGGAGTTAGCATTTTTCTTGTATTTTCTAGGGTTGCAAAATGTGCAAAAAAGAAGAAAAAATACTTGGAAAAATTCAATATTTTTTCTCCGTGTTAGGCGTTGTTTTTTTGTTTTTTTATACAAGTGGACTTTCAGATTGGCGTAAGGGAACATACATTAAAACTTACTGGATATAGATAAATATGAACTGATATAGATAGATAAAGTGAGATTAGATAGATAGATAGATAGATAGATAGATAGATAGATAGATAGACAGACAGACAGATATGAGCTAAGATTAGATAGATAGATAGATAGATAGATAGATAGATAGATAGATAGATAGATAGATAGATAGATAGATATGAGCTAAGATTAGTGTTGTGGATTCCGGGATGAAATCCGGTACCAATAAATAACAAACGCCAAGAAGGAATATAGGAAAATAAATGTATTAACGTAATAATACAAACTGGTAATGCAGATTAGTAGTTCCAGAAATGCGGGTTAGTAGCAATATATATATATATATATATATATATATATATAGTGTTCGGTATTGACGTATCACTGTATGACTTCTTACTACGTGCTTGCTCATTGTTACTCTTGCTCGTTACGTTTGTTCTGGTTCGTGCTCGTCCATCCTTCTTTCTCGTTCTTCTCCCGGGTATTCACTAGCAGTAGTATATGTATACCCTGGGTGAGTTCATTTGTGTAAAAAGGGGAGAACCCCCTCAACAATTAGATAGATAGATAGATAGATAGTTAGATAAACATGAGCTAAGATTAGATAGATAGATAGATAGATAGATAGATAGATAGATAGATAGATAGATAGATATGAGCTAATATTAGATAGATAGATAGATAGATAGATAGATAGATAGATAGATAGATAGATAGATATCAGCTAATATTAGATACATAGATAGATAGACAGACATGAGCTAAGATTAGATACATAGCTAGCTAGCTATAGCTAGCTAGCTAGCTAGCTAGATAGATAGATAGATAGATAGATATGAGCTAAGATTAGATAGATAGATAGATCGATAGATAGACATCAGCTAATATTAGATAGATAGATAGATAGATAGATAGACAGACATGAGCTAAGATTAGATAGATAGATAGATAGATAGATAGACATGAACTAAGATTAGATAGATAGATAGATAGATAGATAGATAGATAGATAGATAGATAGATAGATAGATAGATTCTTGACTCTCTGGTTTACTGGCTGGAATCAAATTGTAGTATCTGTTCTCATAATCTCTAATGGTAGTTGTAATACAGTTTGCGATGGATAAATTGTCGTTTAAATCATGCAAAAATGAAACTCATATTGACATCTCATTTTTACAGATATATTTATCAAAATTACAGAAAAAATATCTTGAAATAATAAAGAGTAAATGTATTCAATAAAATCGCTATTGGCTTTAATCTAGGCCTCCAGACGACTTCGGAATCTCCTACGACTCTTCTGGACGGTCTCCAGTGAATGATGAATGCTGGCATGATCCTTGCTTTCAGTACGACTTTAATGTTACAAGGAGTTTTTTTGGCTTCTATCTGAACTGTGCCGCACGCATAAATTGTCTGAAAGCCAATTCTCCTGCTAATGTGGCATGGTGTGGATTCCTGTAGCCAGATGTAGGGTCGTCTGGCAGACGCCCTCTTGGCCCAGAACATCCCTACCTCCTCAAAGAAATTAATGTAGGCCTTCGTGTTGATTCTGAGGCATTGTAGGACTGACTATGAATAGAGACAAAACGTCGCCATCATTAGGGATCACGCTAAACGACTTTGTAATCACCATTAGACTCTTCCAGCTGTTTTTGAATCATCTGCACTGTCCTCAAATTGACGCCAAAACACTCTGAAATAAAGTGAGGTATCAATTTTCTATTGAAATACCTGGGTAATCTTTCTTTACGATAACACACACACACACACACACACACACACACACACACATATATATATATATATATATATATATATATATATATATATATATATATATATGTATGTATGTATATATGAAGAAAAATATACGGAAAAAACAAACAAAAATCCTTATATACAATTATGCTGTTTTAATGTTAATATGTCAACGTCGGACGTTTCGGTCTAATAAAACATCTTCACGACATATTCATAAAATATAATTAACATTATCAATTCAACATGACAAAGATAATATTTCCAGCCGGATATTACCATTTCTGTGAATTTTGTGCCTTAAATCCAGAGCCCGTTAGTTCCGGGACCACTGATTCGAGGTTTTACTGTACTTATAATATTCATGTTCCACGCCATCCTGAACAAAAGTTTAGGAAGTAAAACAAGCATCGATACTAGAAAAGGCGTTAGCACTTAGTAAACTTTTTAAAAATCATTTCACCCCAAGCAAGGCAATACTGCCACTAACACGCACTTGGTTCTTCTCTCGCGGTCGGTGATCGGTAGTTGTTTTGAGTTCAGAGATAAAAGAACTTCAGCACAGGCAATTTAAAACTTAACTATTCTAATAATCACGTCGCCGTGTACATTTCTGACTATCCAGTGGGGTCGATCTCTCTCCACTGGGGAGCCGTTTCAGACACGAAAGAAAACACGTCTACATTGTTTAACGGTTAAGAAATAACATGCATAAAAACCTTTCTATATCGCTAACATTCCCATGCTCGTTCAACCAACCAAAATCAACTTCCTTATTTTATCTTCCAGATGTCCTCTCAGGTTAACCTGAAGAAAAGAAGTCTGAGCTGAGATATTGAACATAAAGTGGGGGTTCGTTTTTCATTGATATTACCTAATAATCGACCTAAAAATATACATAATAATATAATTTGTATAAATATACTGAATGACCCAAGTGGGATCAGCTTAACCTTGCTCCGTCATTAAGCAGAACACACAACGATGGCTTCTAAATAATTTCGTCTACCTAGCTTTTTTTTTTCTAAAACGTACAAGGCTTGAATTTGCGGTATGGTTTCATGTCGCTTTTCAACTTTCGTCGCAGACTCGGATCGTCTCGTTATAAAATATTATTATGAATTCATCTTGACTACTCGGCCATCGTTAGATTTGAACCCAGATCGCAGTTGTCAAAATAATCTAATCGTTCGACAATATGAAATTCTTCCTTTACCAGGCCAAGTGACTCCCGTTCGCGAATTTCTGAAAAAGGTACGAATAAATTGAGGTAGACAGGTATGTAGACACACTGATGTAGACAGCTGTGCCTGGGGTGGGGTTTTTTCGGAGTTCAAGGTCATATACCTCCTCTTGTGATCACAGGTTTATTCAGTTCCTCCCCTATTTTGAACTGTCATATAGTATTTCCCCCATTATGATTATATGGTGTAGCGGTAATTTTATTTATTTATAATTTATTTATTGAAGAGAGGAGCAATTTAGGAAAGAAAATTGCTCTATTAATAGCAATCAAATGAAAACAAATATAGAGAAGTCTTAATTTCAATGGCTCATAAAAATTCCATCAGATTTAATGCCCAATTTCACCCCTGGCTAAAATATATCCCCACAGATTTTAAATCCCTCTCTTGGGAGCCAAGTGCATTCCGTTTGGATCTTTTTTTTTTTTCTTTTAACAATTTTAGTAACAGAATCGGGAATATTTGCGAGGTAGTTTTATTCTTTGTGTATCGAGATCTTCTTGAAGGAGACTTCTTTTCAATTAAGGTTTCAGCGATACAGTGCGTGTGTGTAGAGAGGTGGCAAAAGGTCGAATGTATGGGGAACTCAGTAAGGATCGAACTCATTACTCATTCGTAATGTTTCTAACTTGCTAACCATTACACCACGTCGGTGTCCTTAACTCCTGTCATATGAAGTGATACCCACACTATTGTTTTAACGTAATTTAAAAAAAAAATGAACGATTTCCAGCCATGACCCAATGAAACATCGGCTCTCGTACGACCACCGAAGTTAAGCCATGTCGAGCCTAGTCAGTATCTAGATGGCTAACAACATACTTATACCAGGGACTGTACACTTGGATATGCGGACGGTGCAATGGATAAGGGATCTGAATTTGGAATCGGAGAGAGGACTTTTAATTCCAGACTGGTTCATGGGGTTAACTTACGCGCGAGTACTCTTGGGAAATGTATGACTACACATCTTAATTTTGAGTTAATTAATAAAACTTGTGTGAGTAAACCATTGTTAAAATTCTTAAAATCTAAAAATACTTTCTGGCTTTAAATAACCTACAAGAGATTGATAAGCTTTAAAAAAAAAAACAAAAAAACAAATCACTCAATTTGAAAATGACTTTATTTGTACGCATCATGCAGTACTCATGTGTTATACAATGAGAAAGTGTTTTTAAGAGGACGAAACCTCACTGTCCAACATAGAGGACTTTCTTCACGTATGAAGATCGTTATGGTTGAAAGACTAAGAAATGATTTTATTTTTAGGAATTTATGAGCTCACACTTGAAATTCAATAAAACTACCTTTTAAAATTGACATTTCTATATCTTATTTTAGATAAGCACATATAAATAATGGTTGTCGACTCGTTAGACGAGAAAGAACAGCTTACGGTGGTATCACGTTGAAATACAGGGTCACGTACGATCACCAAAGTTAAACGAAAATCGAGCCTGATCAGTACCTGGATACGTGACTCCTTAGGAATACCAGATTTTGTAAGCTTGGAGGTGAGGATGGTGCAACGCATAATGACTCGGTTTCGATTTCCGCTGGGTTTGTTATATACACTCACGACCAAATACACTTACTAAAGCAATGAATTAGAGAATTTCAGACTAAAATTTAAGTTAAAAACATATTGATGTACACCCCGAATTGATTCTTACTAAACATTCAACGTGTTTATCATAACAAGGACTAAATTTTTATTGAGTCGCTAGCTAAGTCCCAATCACTACAATGTTGGCTTCTTCAAGTCTAGTGTATAGCAACAAGGACTCTTGGGTCTTGGACTGGGTGAACATTAGCGTGTGTCTATATATATATATATATATATATATTGAATCATATTTTTAAATAAATAATTATATATATATATATATATATATATATATATATATATATATATATATATATATATATATAAATTTCCTAGAGGATAGAATCCAGGTAGAGATCAATGTCTAGGACACAGCAAGAATATAATAAAAAGGCTCAAACTCTAAGATACCATGGTTATAATTAATTACATTGGAATCGTAATCACAGTCCAATTCATCAGACCTACAAATTCAAAAAAGCTTTTTGAATTTGTAAGTTTGATGAATTGGAGCGTGATTCCAATTCCAATTTAATAAACTATAACCATGGAATATTAGTATTTGAGCCTTTTTATATATATATATATATATATATATATATATATATATATATATATATATATATATATATATATATATATATAGTAGGTCTATTTTTATTTTAATCCTCTCGAATTCTCTGATCGACTTCTTAATGTTGATATTAAATATCACCACGAACCACAATTGTGAGATGGCAGGGAGTGATGACGACAGCGGCGCAAAATACGCTGAATAAAATGAATGAATGATCAATGTCATTATCGATTAGAAAGAACACAGGGAGGATTGTATTTATGCCTATATTCTTTTTTCTTTTTAATTTTTTTAAAAAATAGCATCTTGTTGAGTAAACCATCTAATGTGGCGAGAAAGTCAGTGCAAATAAACAAATAAAAGCTGTTACCTATATTGTCATCCTTGAAAAGATGTCTACTCAATCACATCAATTGTTTTGACACTATTTGTGCAAGATAGTAAACAGTTGTTGGTAAAATATCACACCAAAAGCTAAAAGGGAACGTGAAACTTAAATTTGAGACGATTCCACTCACAGTACTTCCGGCAGGCTTATGACTGAATAAATTTGTTTCTTAAAAATAGAAGAAAGAAAGAACATATCGTCCACACCTCGCCCAAAAACAGCATGTGTTTATACTAAATTTCACCCCACACAAGCCTCGAAAGCCACTTAAGGTAGAGTCCTCCAGTTGAAATCGTAAATAAATCTTTGTTATATGATTGGAAGAGGTGGTAGGAAGTGAAGATTATGAGGATAAGGATGATAGATAATGACTTGATTTGATTCGATTTATATTTTTGTGACCTATCAAAACCAGTGTGGGTTATTAAAAGCCGAATCAAATTTTGAATTGTAGGAATAATTTTTACATTTAAAATTAACTGTTTTTTTTTAGAATAACAATATTTTTTCCAGATACAAGTTTTATTATTTAATCCATAGCTGATCCAGAGACGATGGACTCATACGTTCTCTAAGGGTATTTCCGTACAAGTGAATGTAACGACCCCGTCTGGACCCTTGAATTGAAGAGATGACGATTAAAGTGTTTCCAGAAACATCCACGCAGAATTCTGGTCCACAAAGTGGTAGTTCTTGGGGAAACGTACTAGGCTCATAACCTGTAGAGAAAGTGGGTATGGTTAAATTCAAGTGGCAGAACTGCCCAACAAACAGAATTGAAAAAGTTTGCAATAAACAATAACAAGAACATAACTAATATAAAGCAAGCAGACAATATATTAACATTAATAAGGCAAAGCAACAGTAATATGGCCAAAAGTTCACAAACTAAGAACTGGAGTTGACACACTTGTGCGAGTTAGGATAAGAGAACGTAGCGTTTTAAGTTCAAGTCAAGTCAGATCGGGACTGAGTCTGATGAGACCAAAAAGTGGCCAATATTATTGCCTAAGAAGAAATCCCAGCATGCATTTGTGTGGTTTTACCTGTAAACCAGGGAAGGGAAAGTGTTTTACAGTAATTCCCAGTAGTACGTGCTTTCTATAGGTGTTGAAGAGAAGGATTAATTACAAGATTTTTTTTAATTATAGATTTCGACACTATAATCTATTAATGGTCATTTTATGGGAATGTGACCGTTAATAGGCTAAAAACCGAAACATGCCAATTAATTTTCTCTAATTATAGGCCGTAGGAACAATAGCATATAGACAACTGGAATCCTATCATTCCCAATATAAAATGACCCAAATCAGTTTCTTTGAAAATTTGAACTCGCTCTTACAGATTTATTTGTCAACAACCGTTACGCTATGTTGTACATGGAAATAAAACAGCTATTAAAAATTATGGACAGGTCAATAACTCAAGGTACTATTTATCTATCACCGTCATAAAAACCAAACAGGTGGATGTATAACTATCTCAGGAGATTTTTTTCTGTTTTTGACATGAGCTACTGTAACTATTTACACTATTTACATCGTTTTGACAGTTGTCCACATCTTTATTGCCATATTCACGACGTTTCGGCTGTTATACGCTCCGGCCTCCTTCAGGATATGTTATGACTCTGAGATGAAGTAATTTACACTATTTACATCGTTTTGACTGTTGTCGACAACTTTATTGCCATATTCACGACATTTCGGCTGTTATACGCTCCGGCCTTCTTCAGGATATGTTATGACTCTGAGATGAAGTATTTAACTATTTACACTATTTACATCGTTTTGACTGTTGTCCACATCTTTATTGCCATATTCACGACATTTCGGCCGTTATACGCTCCGGCCTCCTTCAGGATATGTTATAGCTCTGAGGAAGTATTTAACTATTTACACTATTTACATTCTTCGGACTATTCTCAACATCTTTATTGCCATATTCACGACTTATCTGTCATTGTACGCTCCGGCCCCTCTTCAGGATATGTCTATATATCTGAGATGAGATGTATGATTAAATATACTTTTAAGATATGCTATATCTGGGGTTAAAATGCTCAATATCAGGGTTAGAACGTATGTAAATATAAAATTGGACATTAAAGCCAACACGCAGAGGCGACAATCTGCTTCATTTTTACCAGAAATCCTCAGTCTATATGGGTCTTTGCTCGAATATTTATATATATATATATGGATCAGTAATGCATTGTGGCCAGTCTGTTTTTATTTTTCTAACGGTGATATGTTTCGAAATATTCTGGGGATATTGAGGAGAAATAATTGTGGATCTGGATGCAGTTCCTTGTCAGTTTATGGTTTTGTTGACTTTTAAAAATTTATTAGTGATTAATTCATTGTTGGTTTGTTATTATTCATCACCATCATTTAATTCTTCATATATATATATATATATATATATATATATATATATATATATATATATATATGATCTCAGAAAGAGATGGAAAGTACTTGGGAAATAAAAGTGATTTTCACTGTTACAGTTCATTTTTTTGCGTCATTTGATTGTAATATACGGAAAAATACTCGTGAATATGAAAGGATTATGATAAAAATAGGCACACATAATGCTTGTAATTTATTCAATCAGACATACCTAAAAGAGAATTTGCTGCCTAAACACACACAGACACACACACACACACACATATATATATATATATATATATATATATATATATATATATATATATATATATATATATATATATATATATATATATATATATATATATATATAGATTGAATGAATAAAAACAAAAAACACTATTCAGGGTTTGACTGCACGAAAAAGTTTAGTTGCTATAATTTGTGCTGTGTCATTTGGAATTTGTTTACAATAATGCTCACCCTTTACATGAGCCGAGAGCCACTCGAGGTAGACGGTTACAGAATAGGAGGCACAGTTCATGTGCATATGTGGGTAAGATAACGGTTAGCGCTGGACTTCAACAGGTTAAGCTTGTAGTGATCGGGGAAACATTCTCTTGGGTATTGGTTCCATAGAGCAAGGATTCATGGGAAGAAGATTTTCGCGTGGAATGACATCAAGGAATGAGGATGGTTCGCTACAATGCATCTGGCATGGCAGGTCTTAGCCGTGAAAGTTAGAAATGCAGTTCGTTGGAACACTTTCCATGGAATTAACGATAGAGCAGCGAGAAGATTACGACGTTTCATCTGTGGGAAAGAAGTTGTAATGTTGAAAATAATTCATCGCCCACAAGATATATCAGCAGTAAACCATTCGTCAGTGTTGGATTTTTTTGGGTATCCTGGTGTACTAGTGAGCCAGCCAAAATGAGCTGACTCATTTTATAGTTCACCAATAGAAGGGTTAACCAATCAGAAGGCTCAAAATATTCAATGCGACGTGTATAAAGGCGGCCATGTTTTTCCCGAATATTCACTGCTAGTCATTGATATTGAAGACTGGAGAATTACGGAACAGCTGCTGGTGGTATTGGCGATATAGTTTGATTCAGTAGAGTGTCTGACTCGTGAGTATTAATCTTTAACGTTGTTTCACTGAACAGATTACGTACTGCGCTGTATTCTATATTCATAGACTATGGGGAACATGGCCGACAATCAGTCTCATCTAGCTCGTGGAAATTCGCAAGATGTCAGGTGCCTACTGGGGCGGTGCAGGGAACCGACCATTTTTCCAGCATCTTTAGCGATGGATTGTATGAGTTGTGTTTAAGGTTCAATAGGCGCTCAAGGTACGGGACCGGATTGAGGGAATATCCGTTGATTGCGACTGGTGATAGTTGTGGTTCCATCGGCGTTGATGGTATGTCCCTACACCCTTGTGCAAATTAATTGAAACAACCGTTTTAGTTGTCTTTCTTTCTCCGTACGGTCAGTTTTATACCCACTGGAGTGACAGTGTGTAATCGATTTCTATTTTTCTTTAGGTTAGCTCATTTGCAGCGGTGTGCAGTAATATGTATCTATTTTCGGGGTGTATAATGAAATTCGTTTCGCCTTGAAAAATATTGCGTCATCCGTGATTGTATCAGATTTTCATCTCGCCCAGAGACTATTGTCTCGACTGTTGATTAGTTGTCCTACGACAATTGTCTGCGATGGGCGTTATTCCAAGGAGGCGTATGAAAACTGTAACGTCGCACAAACCAGTGAGAAAATCAAACTACTATAGACTGGCCCGGAAACTTTCCTGATTTAAATCAAATCGAGAATCCGTGGTAAATCTGAAAGGAAAGACTTCGTGGAATGGACGTACAAAGTACTAACACGTGCCCTGGATCTTGTTTCATTGAAAGAATATATTTTAAAAAAAATAATAACTGGGTTATTCGTATTTGTTTTAGAAGGTATTTTGGTTTTAAAACCTTACTTACGTATTGAACACATTAATAGAATAAAAAAATTATTTTTTTAACATTTTTGAAAGTAAACTATTTCCTTCTTTTATGCCAAATGGTATATAAGATTTGATTATTTCTGTTCTCTGTATTGAGGCTGCAAACGTCCTTTAAGACAAATACTATTAAAAACGACAGACATTTTGTGTCGATTAATTTTACTGATCAACTTTTCAGACAAAGTGGAAATTCTGTCAGAATTTGTCCGAAGTCCATTTCGTAAGAAAACCACAAGACATATGGTCCAAATTTTCGACTTTCTTAAGTCAATATCCGATTAGACAGAGAAAATTGGGAGATTTATTAAATTTTTAAAATAGTGAAACAAGGCTGTTTTAAATAAGCTGTTAGAAGTACGTGAGGAATGTCTACGATAACTACCCATAAACAATACCACAATACTAGCAAAATCAAATAGTAAAAATCAGACCTATGACCTTTGAGACAATCCTCATACATTAAAAACAATCATCAATCAATAAACTCCGCATGTTTAACTGAATATATGTGAAAGTTCTCAGAATGTATCTGTAGAAAAGGCAACAGGAATAAACTAGACAATAGGAAAACAATACTTTGACGACGAAACACTTAGGCAAAGACTAAGTATTGTTTTCCTATTGTCTATTTTATTCATTTTGTCTTTTTTACAGATACATTCTGAGAACTTTCACATATATAAATTTAAAGACGCGGAAAATTATAAACAAGACGAAAGTAGAATTAAGAACATTATAAAAACATGTATAACACCAGCTGACAATAGCAAAAAAAAACTAGATTAATTGTTTATTACAAAAAACTTAAAACTTCTAACTTTATAGATAAAAATAATAATTCACCTCCTAGAACAAAATTAAATAGAATAAATATTATTAACGAATTTAAATGTCTATTAAGGAATTGTATTCCTGATCAATCGAAATTCGTAAATAATTATATAGGCCACACTACGCAGACTCACTCTACACCTTTCTGATCATAGCTCAATTAGATCTCATTTAAATATCCATAGAGACTACCGTACTCTATTCGTAACATACTTGTTGACAACACTAATATAATAGCATCATCTACATGTAAAAAAAAGGCTTAAAATAATGGAAGCCTTATTGATAAAAGCAAAAAAAAACACTTAATAATATCAACTATGAACATGGACGCAATATCTTGACCGTGGTTTGAAAGTGAAACATTATATAAATACATACATACAACAAAGTATTTCTTGTTAACAGTTAACATATTTCAACCTTACAAATGGCTAGATGTATAGCCAAAAGCGCTCAGATAAAAAGAACATTCGGACAGTTTTTATATAATTTATGATCTGAAAAAAAAAACATTTATTAGATCAGATGAGAAATTGTATAAAAAACTAAATCAAAGCACCGTGTCTGTCGTATTCAATGAAATATATATATATATATATATATATATATATATATATATATATATATATATATATATATATGTGTGCGTATGTGTCTGTGTGACTGCCGTTACATGGAGTAAAAAATAAAGTGTGTCCTATTTTAGCATCGTTCTCATTGACCAGAAGAAAAATTAATTACAGGGACTACTTAAAACAGACCATCGTCTAATGCGGGACCAACTACTACTGAAGATAGCACAGCTTACCGATAGGCAGGATGGAGTTAAAATTACTTCAGGCGATATTACTTTTGGAAGTAAGCATCCAATCCGTAGCTGTAAATAAGAAGCTCTCATTCTTTCTCTGGTTGCCACACCTTCTGCCACATTCCCGGTGGACAAAACATGCCAGTCACATGTGGGCACGATAATACACTCCTAACTCATATCTCATGCAACGAGGTCAAAGCACACACACACACATGCGCGTAGAATATCAATAGCGTCATCTACCACAAAGAAAGTTGGTTCTTTATGTTGCGACAGTAGTTTTCTATCGCCTGAGTCCATACTTCAAATCTATAAATCAAACATTCGCCCTTGCATTGAATACTGCTGCCTTATATGGTTTGGTGCCCGCGCTGTTCTTCTCGAGGTCTTCGACCAAATGGCTATTACTGTGTAGCGAAAAAACATTTTAAATCAGTTAATTTATAATATATATATATATATATATATATATATATATATATATATATATATATATATATATATTGTTTCTGAAATTGATGATGAAATGGAACTAATGTTTTTTATTTAATTACAAAATTAAATTTGAAGCTTTTTACCTTTCATTTTGAAACGTTATTATTACTGTGTAGCGAAAAACATTTTAAATCAGTTAATTTATAATATATATATATATATATATATATATATATTGTTTCTGAAATTGATGATGAAACGGAACTAATGTTTTAATTTAATTACAAAATTAAATTTGAAGCTTTTACCTTTCATTTTTGAAACATTGTTATTACTGTGTAGAAAAAACATTTTAAATCAGTTAATTTATAATATATATATATATATATATATATATATATATATATATATATATATATATATATATTGTTTCACCCCAATAAGCTGATAATACTATCAATGTGCAAGGAGTAACTGCGAGTGAAAGAAAAAAAGTGACTGAGAAGAAATTTTGAACCGGGTCGCAATCATTTTAATTCAAGCAAGGCAATAAAGTTACTAAGATGCAAGGAGTAACTGAATGTGAAAAAATATAAGAAAAGCAAGAAGAGGAATCAAGAAGTATAATAACGATTGATATTGCATTTAAAGTTTTGAAAATCAAAGTTGGTTC